ATTGTGACCATTTTTAAAAATGTGTATTTCTTTATTTTGAAAGAGAGAGGAGGGATAGGAGCAGAGAGAGAGGGAGAGAGAGAATCCAAGCAGTAGCACAGAGCCTGACATGAGGCTCCATCTCACAAACAGTGAGATCATGACCTGAGCTGAAATCGAGAGTCAGATACTTAACTGACTGAGCCACCCAGGTCCCCCATAATTGTAACCATTTTGGTAATCCATCTACTACTTTCTTTGTAATGTCAACATACCAAGCCCTTGAAATAGAGAAGCTGAGTGTTGGAGTGTAGGTCCCTGAACTGTTGCTTAGCTAGAGGGTCCCCAAAGCATAGCTGCTTGAGCCCCAGAGTCTCCCTGTGCCTTATGAAACAGTCCTTTGAGTTGTAACTTCTAGAAGCTTCTATCTTCCTAGGATCCCACATGTTCAAAAGGCCAAGCTAGGGGCAGAGTTGAGAGACAATTTCATCTCCCTTCTGTCAACTAAAACTTTGTTACTGGACCAAACCAACTTGGTTCCTTCTTTCCTTAGAATGGAAATGATCTCCCTGGAGTTCCTTTTTGCCCCTCGCAAGCAAATAGATATCCGGTCTGCCCACCACGCTTGTGTGCCAGACATGTCCAGTCATGTTCAGGTCCCTGGGGCAGGCCTCGCTTAGTCTTCTTTATTTCTCTACAACTCATTAGAGATTTTTTTCATAGATTCTCACCTCTTGGATAGCAGAGGGGGGGAAATGGAGTCCAAGGCAAGAATTCCATGTCTCCAGTTTCCTTAGAGACTCTGCAAGTTCTTCCTGTGGTGGCATATGAGGTGACACCTCTGGGTCTCAAGGGCCTGCTCTGGATCATCCCTTGAAAGCAGAATGACGAAGGGCGATGGCCCCATTCCTGAGTGGATGTCTGTGGCTTGTGTACCTCATGGCCTGGGTGCTCCATGCTCATTCAGAGCTCTGCGATGCTCCCCAACCTCCCCGAGACGCTGTCAACTCAGGCCTCACCAATGTTCCCTCCGAGTGCCCATCATGACTTCCCCCCAGCCCCTGACCTAGCCTCCGGGGTCAACTCACCCCTCTCCACGCTGGGGCTTAAGGCAGATGGCTTGTGTGCTCTGTGTCACATCTCCTCAGCCCACCTCTCACCCCAGCTGAGGTGAAGGCTTGAGGCACAATGACTCATCTCACCTCAAGGCAGTGGCTCCTGCCTCAGATGTTTCCTTGAGGCCAAAGGCATCCACACAACCAGGAAGTAAGAAGAAGTAAGCTTTCTTGGGAGTATTCCTCAACTCGGGGGAGGTGAGATAAATGCCCCAGACCCCTGATTTTCAGAGAAAACAGTTCTGAGGCACATTCCTCAGAGGGTCCCCAGAGGAATGGAGTCCCAGCTGCACACCCTTTGTTAGCTTCTCCTCCCTCCCTGTCTCACTTGCCTGTGTCTGGGATCAACTCCAAGTAAGTGACCTGCACCCAACTCCTTATCTCAGGTTGTGTTTTTGAGAGAACTCAAACTAAGACATCCCTATGGGAAGCCTGTGACTCACAAGTTAGCTTCCTTTGGAGGCCCCCGGTGCTTGAGAGTAGCTGGAAACTTCTGCACCATGTCTGTGCTACCTGGGAATTGTGGGGGGTGACTCCTGAAAGTTAAACCCAGGCCCTCTCTCTGTGTCACCACGGTGATCCATTAAGTTGACTTTAATGAGGCATCCCCCTCTCCTCGGTCAGTGCCTGAGAACAGGGGAGGAAGAGGTGGGCAGCCCGTGGGGCCAAGCCCTCTATTTAAACCCAGAACTCCCCTTAACCCAGGGACATACCTACTCACTCTGGTCAAAGGTCGCATTCAGGGAAGATACAACCTTTCCTTCCAATTGTCTGTCCTACTTCTTTCTCTCTTCTCCCAGAATCCACTGGGAACACAAGAGTGGGCTTTGGGAGACTTCTTTTCTTCTCTGCATACCTCCCTTCTTCCAGGCATGTGGTAGAGCTCTCCTCTAGTGGCAAAGCCTGCCTCTTAAAATGTTCTATGGGGCGTAAGCAATTTGGAAAATTGTTTTCTCTCTGGCCATGCTTGACCTTCCTGCCACTGGTTTGCTAAAGAGAAGAAGGAAGTCGGCTTTGAGACCCTGACTTCATCAGTGGCTTCCTCCCTCTCTAAGCTTGCACTGTCCCTATGTGGTAGCCACAAGCTACATGTGGCCATTGAGCACTTGAAACAGTGCCACTGAAGAATGAAACTTTAAGTTCATTTAATCTTAACTAATTGAAATTAAAATTTAAAAACTGAATTCAGTGATTGGGTAACTTTATTTAAATACTTTTTTTTTTTTGGGAGGGGGGCACGCTCTCGGTAGGGGTGAGAGGGAGAGAGAGAATCTTAAGCAGGCTCTATGCCCTGAGCAGGGCTATATCCCACCACCTTGGGATCATGACCTGAGCCTAAATCAAGAGTCTGACACTCAACTGACTGAGCCACCCAAGCGCCCCAGCTACTGGGTCACGCTAAAGTATGTTTGGAACAACTCAGGTATGTGAATCTACTTTTTCAGATAGAAATTTTATAAAACCTACAGATCAAGGATTTTTGATAAAAATTTAACGTCTGAATTGAGATATGCTAAAGCATAAATACATACCCAATTTCAGTCTTAGTACAGGAATAGAATGTAAAATGCCTCACGAATAATGTCTTTATATTGTTTACGTTTTGAAATTATATTTTGAGTATATTGGGTTAAGTGAAATCTATTATTACAATTGATTTCACTGTATGTTTTTGTTTTTGTTTTGTTTTTACTATTTGTAATGTAGCTAGAAAGTTTCAATTGCACCTGTTGCTCACACTGTATTTCTAATGGAGAATCAGTTCTGGACAATGCTTACCTGCTGTTTCCCTGGGGCCATGTGCCTCTTGGTCCAGTCCCCAGAGGTGGATGGTGGCAAGAAAACATAGCATGAGGGTAGGCTTTCATCTATCAGTTTAATATTTGCAAAGTATTAAGCATGTTATAGAGGTATTGTCCCTACACCACAGGAAGGGTAAGAACATACTCCTTTGTCTTCTGTGGCTTCTATATGGGGAAATTGATGGGAAAAAAGTTTGCTGGTATCTTGAACTACTGAATCAATTTATTGGCAAAAGTGTAAAGTATAAGTAGAGGGGAATGGATGGTGTTTTAATTTTTTTTTAATGTTTATTTTTCAGAGGGGGGTGTGGGGTAGGAGCAGAAAGAGAAGGAGACGCAGAATTGGAAGCAGACTCTAGGCTCCATGCTGTCAGCAGAGCCCCAACCCCAGGATCATGACCTGAGCCAAAGTCAGAGGCCTAACCAACTGAGCCACCCAGGCACCTCTGGATTGTGTTTTAAACAGGACCTAAGGGCAAGGTACCTCGTAGCCCAGTTTGTGCAGGAAGAGTCCCACGCCCCAGTCGATTGGTCATAGGATGGTCACCTGACCCAAGATGGGCCAACGAACTGCTCTCTTGAGAGACTGCAGTAGAGACTAGGATTTTAGCTCTGCCTGGCTGCTATCTTCAGTAGGGGAGCTCCAAGCCCCCACTGGTGGAAATGGGGGGCACCCTTTGTCATGTGTCTGGGGTGCAGGAAATGACCAATCTACGATGAAAGGGAACAGCGGGCCCCTTAGGGAAGACTTCTTGGGTTCCTGGAAGCCCTCCAGGCTCTGGATTTGCCTCTCACAGAGCTCTTGCCTGTAGTTCTGACCCCGAGGTCACAGAGAAAAACGCCATGTCCTCAGAATACATTCCCCTGATGCTGTTCATGTTACCTGCAGACCGAGGAAGCTTACAAGTACAGAATTCTGGCTGAGGGTGGGGGAGAACATTAACGGGAGAGCTTTGTGTTTATAGGTCACGGGGATAGTACAAGCAGATAATTTTTTTTTTTCCTTACAGAAAACGCTGATCACTGGCCTCCTTGTTCCAGGGTAACTGACACAGTTCTGAGCCCCACCCTACAGCTGCATTTTGGGTTCAAAGGCTTTTGCGGCTGGGCTCGGAAGCACATCACCATTTATAACATTGTTTCTAAGGGAGACACATTCCAAGATCCAAACAATGAATTTGGTAAAGAATGCTTGGCTTCCAGGAGGGATGCGCAGAGCCGGCTGTACCCTGGGGGCTAGCCGGCTACCCATTAACCATCAGGCCCCCGTTTTTTGGCACGGAGACTCACCCTGCACGGTTGGGATTTGTATGTGGGGGGAGAATTATGATAAAAGGAGGGGAACAGATAAGGGGCCCCGAAGCTGGGGCGCTGAGAGCCCCAGGAAGTCCAGGGATGGATGAGAGAGGGAGGTGAGAGGTGGACAAAGGAACTTGGCCTCCTTCACTGTCACGTCGGCCCTCCCGTCCGTCGAAGGGGCCTTGCTTAGCCCCTGCTCAGCGCAAGCCCTTTTTGGAACAAGGCGGGGTGTTAGAAAATGAATCCCACATCCTCCGTCTGGGGAATCCGGGGCGCTCGAGGTGGTCTCTGCGGGGCAGCGTGACTGTTCCCTGGGAGTGGCTGTCACAGCGCGGGGCGAGCCACAGGGCTTGGGCCGAGACTCCATCCGGCTTGAAGAGGGCGGCGGCGAACGGGGTGAGGGAAGCCAGCCCATCCTCCCCACCCCTGCACGCCTACCCCCACCCCCCCGCCACCCCCACCCCCCCGGACCCCCCCGCCACCCCCACCCCCCCGCACCCCCCAACCCGGAAGAGACGCGGGCAGCCGGAGCCCCGACTCTCAAGCTGGGAAGGAGGGGACGCGCAGCCCTAGCATTGTCTGGGAGGGAGGGGAGAAGCTCCGCCCCCCAGGGGGAAGGGAGGAGGGAGGAGGGAGGAGGGAGGAGGGAAGGACGGCGGGAGAGGAGGGGAGGAAGAAAGGCGAGGGAAGAGGGGCGGGGGAGAGATGGAGAGCTAGAGAAAGGCGGGGAGAGAGGCCGATCCGACGCGGTAGGGACGGATAAAGGCAGAGGGGGCGGGAGGGGCGGAGGGGAGGCGAGGAGGGCGGGGCGCTCGACCCCCAATCGCGCGGCCGCCGCCTGCGCTGCCCGACTGGATTTGAGCTGGGCCCGCGGATCGCTGACCCAGGCGCGGGCTGGAGCAACCCCCCCGCCGAGGCACCCCCACTTTTCAACTCCGCGGGCGATGCAGCCGGCTGGGGACGCAGGCAAGGCTCGGGGCGCGCGGCAGCGGGCGCGGGATGCGGGGCGCAAGGTGCCGGGCGCGGGCCGGTCGTCTCTCCCCTGCCTCCCTCCAGCCTCGCCGAAAGTTTTCCCGCGGTGTTCCCCGCCGGGTCCAGGTCAGCGCCTCCGTCCTCGCCTGCCTTGGTCTCCTGCCTCGTCCCCCGGCCGCCGGGGTTCCTGGGCGTGCAGACTCCCCGGGGGCCGCCTAGGCGCCAAGCCCTGCACGCCCACCTTCCGGTCGGAGAAAGTTGTGGCTCCAAGCTCGTCTTCCCCCGCGACCCCTGGGGGTCCTTCCTTCTCCCCGCGCCGGGGGCGGCGGCAGGAAGGCGCCCCCACCCCTTCTTTGGGGTTCCCGAGACTCCGTGGTGAGCTGGGGCCGGGCAGCAGGTGCAAGGATGGCAGGCCCGGACAGCGCAGGGAGTGCCCGACCCCAGCCCGGCCCCTAGCTTCCCTGCCCAACGGACGGTTCCCCAGAGGCGGGTTCCGGTACCCAGCGCGGGCGGGCGGCGCGCCCGCGTCTCCTCCGGGAGGGCGCAGGGGCACGGGGGCCCTTGCTCCTCGTGGCACTTCCCTTTTGCGGTCTCCCCGCCCGCCTACCGAGCTAGTGCTGAGGTCGTTGGGGACCTCGGCTTGGCGTCCTCTCCTGCCCGAGAGAGGCAGGTGCCTTGGGCGACCTGGGCACTTCTGCATTTCGGGCGCCCGCTTTGCATTCCGCGCGCCTGTTTTGCATTCCGCTCTTGAGCGGGGGGAGCCCTGGGGACAGCACAGAGAGGCGAGGTGGCCCCACCGGGAGACCGAGGGCTCCATCTGACTCTAGGGCTCTCTGTGGGTCCTGGGCTGTTCACAGCACCTCTGCCCCTCAGTGACAGCAGGAGCTGAGCGCTAGGCTTCCCAGGTGTCCGGAATCCGGGTTCTCCCAGAGGACAGAGACTGTGACTAGCGTTGGCCGGGTTTATAGTAAGTACCTTGACGTGATGAATGAAAGTTTGAACCGGCGAGCTGACAAATAACAATTCATCCCCGAGTGAGACTCTGTTCCTGCCCGGGTTGATCTTGGTACAATGGGAGGAAAGAATTAGAAACAATGATTCTTTTAAACAGCTGTGATTCCGAGCCAGGGGCCTTCTTGCCAGAGCGTCTGGAGGAGGAATGTGGGCTTGGATTTATTTTACTTATCAGCCCGCATTTATTTACTGGGAACTCTTTCTGCAGGTGGTCTGAGGAATTGAAGAAAGTTCTCACGGCTAAGAGATATTATTTTGAGAAGAGGTGTTCTGGGTTTTTGGGGGGTTTCTTTTTTTTGGTTTTTATTTTGTTTTTAGCTTGTATCGAATGCAGTGTCCCAGGGACTAAGCATGGAGTCATCCTGGGAGGGGCCCACTTGGGAACAGAGACCCTGGAGTGGCTGAGGGTGGGCACCAGCTTTCTGCTCTGGATCAGGCAGTCCGCTGGGCCCAGGGAGGCTGCAAGACGGCCTCAACTGGTGGCTGAGCTCGGAGAGGCGGGGCAGGTTGGGAAAGACGGTAGATAGTTCTTGCCCGGGCAGAAGGAGAGGAGGCCATAGATACAGCCTGCCTGGGCACCAGGGAGTGTGGGCTGGGACAGTTGGGGATTCCCAGTGCTGGGGACACTGGGTGGGGAGTCCTGCCCCTCCTTCAGAAGACAGGAGAGCTGGGTTGCCTGTTGGGAGGCAGGATCATCTAGCGGGGGTGTGGCCCAGACACAGCCCAGGCTCCTCACCCTCATTTTTGTGCTGGTGAAATCAGTTAACATGAGGGGTGTCTTCAGGGAGCCTGGCTGAAAGGAGGCCAGGGGACCTGGTGCCCCCAGGGCTGCCCCCCCCCCAGGGGAAGGTGGGGGTGTGCCCTCTGCACCTGACTGCCTGGGCCAGGACATGTACACTTGTGCCTGTGTTCCTCCCCTGGGAGGCATCCCCACCTTCCTTAGGGGGTCTCCTTCTGCCTCTGGGGCTTCAAGCCCATCCACCTCTCTGCATGTCTACACGGCTTCTGTTTGGGGCTCCAGGCCCTCTCTCCAGTTTGTGTCCCTTTGGAAGTCAGTCAGGAGTCGTAGATGACCCTACGCCTTCTTCTCAGCCCCTCAATCCTCCCTGGTCTCAGAGGCGCTGTCTTACCTGGGGCCTGCCAGTCACCCACTGGTTTTGCTTTGATTTCTTGGTCTATTTCCTGGGGCCCCGGAGCCAGGCTTCGCATCTGCCTTCTGTGTGTGAGCTGCTTAGGAATGGCCGAGAGACTTGGCTGGAGCCGTGCCCAGGACCGCACATCCTGGCACCTCCGCTGGAGTGCCAAAGGCTGGCCCGAAGCACAAAAGAACGTTGGCCTGATTCTTGCCTTTGGTCCTCCTTGGGTACTCGGGCAGGAAGTGTCCCCAACGGGAGGGGGTGTGGAGGCAGGACCAGATTGCCAGAGAACCCCGCCGAGAGGCTAGGAGATGGACCAGGACTTGCCTGTGTCTCCTTCTCTCCCCCAGGGTGGGAAGCTGTGCGGGTCTCAGCAGTGTGCTCAGACCAGAAGACGACGGCCAGTCTCTCTGTCTTCAAGACATAGTTGCTGAGGGCTGCGGCCACGTGGTTTACAGAGCTAGGGCAGCGGTCCCCTCCTGCCTCCTCCCTGCTTCTCCCACCACTCTTTACAGTAGGGTCCGGTGATTTACCCTAATGACACACTGCCCTATTTAAGCACCTCTCTGCATCTCCAGAAGAATTTTAAGTAAGTCCTTAAGATGGGGTAAGCTCCAGCAGATCTGTGATGGCTGGTTTCGTTTCTTTGGCCGCCTTGTGGGTTCCCACGGAGATGTCTGTGTGAGGATGAAGGGAAGCCGGGCACAGTAAACAGGGCCGGCGGGGCGTCCAGTGGGGCATTTTTGATCAGCTCTGGGACGGCAGGCCGACTCCGGAGCCTGTAATCACAGGTTGTCACAGCTGCTTGGGGCGACAGCTCAAGGATGTGGAACTCCGGCCCAAACCAGCTGTAGCTGAATCAGACACGGAAACCTTTCCCCGAAGTAGGGGGCAGGGAGGGGCTCTTAGCTAATTACCATGGGATGAGCAAAGTGACTTAGAAGGACTTTGCCTATTCAGTCCATTGGTAAAACTTGACAAAACATACCTTGTGCTGTCCTTGGGCATCTCAACCCAGAGTGATTTGGCAAGATAGGTGTACTTGACCAGCATGGCTCTTTACCCATACTTGGCACTCAGTTAAGTGTTTGTTAGATCAAGTGCTCATTTTTATTTTTTTTTTAATTGTTTATTTATTTTAGAGAGGAGGGGTGTGGGGAGAGAGAGAGTAGGAGACACAGAATCTGAAGCAGGCTCCAGGCTCTGAGCTGTTGGCACAGAGCCTGATATGGGGCTCAAACCCATGAACCACGAGGTCATGACCTGAGCTGAAGTTGGACGCTTAACCAACTGAGCCACCTAGGCTCCCCTAACTACTCATTTCTAAAAGAGTAATGCAGAATATTGGATTTGGACTCTGAATGCTGTTTTACCATTTTCAGCTGCATGATATTGGACAATGTAATAGATGCTGTCAGCATCGTCCCGTGCTCTCTTCCAGTGACTGATGACAGAAGGCGTATAAATACCCCAGTTCCCTCACTTCTCTGCTGGGGACTTGGGGGCACATGCTACTCTGTCTGCCAGAGTCGCCTAGTAACTGGCTCCCTTCACTGGCTGCTGTCCCTTCCCTGTTCCACTTTCCCAGGCCCCCTCCACTTGCACTCAGACGCTTGTTTGAAGGTCAACTCCAGAGGAAACCAACCTAGGATAGGATTTAGTGCACAGTCATTTAACAGTAAATGTAAACAGTAATTTAATGTCACTGAGCCTCAGTTTCCGTAATTGTAAGATGGAAATTATAACTATCCCACAGTGATATTGTGATGTGCATTCAGACAGGAGCCTGGCACAGAGCAGGCATTCAGGCAGACATTTGCTTCTCACTGATTAATATAGAAGGGACCATGGTGGATTTGGGCGTGGGTATTATGATGGCCCACGGATGGCCAATTGTAATGCTTGGGAAGGAAGCTATCCTTAGGCTAAGTGAGGAAACCGAGTTTATCTGCTCATGGCTTTCACATCTAGGCTGTGACCAGTGATAAATGTTGAACAACTGGACTCTCCATAGGTTGGAGGGGGAGCCTTGCTTTGCGGTATTTGTTGATTTCTATAGTGTAAATATTTCCACCGTGGCTGATTTCAAGTTACCAACATGGCGCCATGAACACTGAGTTGGGAGGAGATGTACATAGTCAGCTCCTGAGAGCCAGTAGGAACAGCTCCAGTCGTAGGTGATCGTGACTGAGCTGGGATGTGGCCTCAGTGGTCTTAATTTTCAATTTTGTACACCAAGTGAAGAAGGTAAGAATTGTACAAGACATCCCAAACTTGAGGTACGTTTAAGCTCTGCCCTTGAACGGCCGGCTGAATCGCTTTGTGTGAGATTCATCTGGGGTTTATTTAGTGACTATGGAAATGTTTATGCTATAGTCTTTTGAGGCCTCAGTTTCCCCATCTCCAGGGTAAGGAATTAGATTATTCCCCTAAATCCTTCTATCCCTGGGTCTCTTTAGGAAGAGTCCACTGCATTCTTCTTGCGCCTACTCAAGAACAAAACCTTTCACAAAGGAAAAATCTTTCATGCGTCCATACTTCTATTGCCCACCCCAGGGCGCCCAGCACTGGGCCCTCTTCGAGTCTTTTGCTGTAGTCTTCCACGCTGGCAAAAGGGAATTCAGTAGAGATTAGCCCAGCCACGTTCTGCCTTCCTTGTGTGCCGGTTTCTCGTCATGACACAGGCATGGTGTGTCCCCTGAGGAGGCCTGTGGGGGGGGGAGGGAGGAGCTGGTGTCTTATGGAAAAGACTGTCCCCGCTTTCCTGAACCACAGTGTGATGTCACAGACCCCCAAGTGAAAGCCAGGAGAAGTCCACCTGGAGAAGGAGACTTTTGTATGGCAGAATTCAACATCGCTGGTGTGATCTCACTCCTAATTCTCTGTTGACAGCCATCCTGAGGGAGTCCCTGACTCAGCAGTTCCACCGGTAGGAGATCTTACCCTAAGGATATAATTGGACAAGTACAGGGAAAT